GACACACAGAGACAGAGACACAAAGACACACAGTGAGACACACAGAGACAGAGACACAAAGACACACAGTGAGACACACAGAGACAGAGACACAAAGACACACAGTGAGACACACAGAGACACAAAGACACACAGTGAGACACACAAGGACAGAGACACACAGTGAGACACACAGAGACAGAGACACACAGAGACAGAGACACACAGAGACAGAGACTCAAAGACACACAGTGACACACAGAGATAGAGACACAGAGTGAGACACACAGAGACAGAGACACAGAGTGAGACACACAGAGACACAGACAGAGACACAAAGACACAGAGTGAGACACACAGAGACAGAGACACACAGTGAGACACACAGAGACACAGACAGAGACACAAAGACACACACACAGAGGGACAGAAACACAGAGTCAGACAGAGACAGACAGAGAAACAGACACAGTGAGACACACAAAGACACACAGATACAGATACAGACACAGACACACAGATACAGACACAGAGACACAGAGACAGACACAGAGACAGACACAGAGACACAGAGACAGACACAGAGACAGACACAGAGACAGACACAGAGACACAGAGGTCTGACGCACAAGGTATTGTTCTCGGCTGATAATGACTTACCCCCTCGCGCCTACAGGCGATTTCCGCTTTTATTTGGTCAGGGTCATATTTTGCGTTTGAAGAGCCGCCAGAGAATGCTACAAAAGGGGAAGGGGAGTTAGGGAGAGGTGGGGGGGGGAAAGGGGGTCAGTTAACACAGAAAGGAATCTCCAGTTTTTAGAGCAATAACGGCAGCACACAATGGCAAGGTGTCCTATATCCAGGGAGGGGGGACGCGTGCGTGAGGGTGCCGCATCGCCTGCTTCACACTGAGGCTTTCTCAGTTCCTCACTGTCTGGCTGCCCCCCCCTCACCCCCACCCCTCCAAGTTAGCTATGCTGGGAATAAAGGTCAAACCCAGGAAGAGGGGGAGGGAGGGAACGAGGGACAACAGGGGCAGGAAAGGGCGGACCCCACTCTCCAGGCCGTGAGAGATTCCCTGGAACCAAACTTGCCTTATGGGAAAGGCTGAGAAATCATCCTACACGGTACAACGTCGGACGTCTGACTTCCATTTTTAACGAAGACGCACAAATTAGCCACTCAATGACCCCGACCATAATTAGAAAAGAATTCTCCATATATGCCATACATTTCATACAACAGTGGGTACAGCTTGAGAACTTCCCCAACCAAGGTCACATGACACAGTCACATGATGCACGAGTTGCACGCTATTGGACAGCCGCCATGGTTAGCAAACAGACCCCTTGCACAGCTCACCTGGGCCACTGACCCTGGGCTGTTATGGCAATCGCCACCTGAGTGACACCTAAGGCAGCAGCCTGGTTATTTACGGCCCCCGATACAGCGGGCAGCAGCAGAGGAAGCGCTCAGGACGGGTCAGGAAGCTGGCGCAAACTGGACGTGAGCGAGGGGCGAGGGGGCTGGGCGGAGCCGAGCGAGCGAGCGAGCGAGCGGAAGGGCGGGGGCCTCACTGCTGGCGAGCGAGCGGCTGTCCTCCTCCGAGAGCTCGTGGAAGAGCAGGAATTCCTGCTGGGCCAACTCCAGGCGCTGCTGCTTGACCTGGTAGATCTCCTTCTTGGCACTGAGAGCCTCCTGAGCCACCACCAGGTACTCCTTCAGCATGCGCTCCTGCTCCTGCCGCCATTGCGTCCGCGGGTTCTCGATCTGGGTGGTCTCTGCCGGTCACACACACATTCATATCCACATCTTTGTGGGGACAGGCCATTAATTTCTATGGGGAAAAGCTCTAATCGCAAAAAAGAGGGGGCTACAGCGATCCTCAGGGCTGGAGGCCCCTGCGGGTGGGGGGTGTAAAGCAGAAGGTCCAGAATTTAAACCCGGGAACCGTAAGGAATCCCAGGGTTTCCAAGCCTCTAGAAATTACCGAAAACTGGAAAAGTACAATTATAATAGCTGCTCTACCAAAAGTGAACAACAAATCAAATACTGTAAGAAAATGGCATAATTTGGCCAACAGTTAAAAAGGAGAAAGGTGGGATGTTCATGGGACAAACAGGAAGCAGCGCGGTTACTTACTGTTGATGTGGTCGATGTAGTACACGCCCACCTGCTGATCGTAGACCTCCTCCCAGCCTAAGGGCAGCTCATCACCGACGCAGTCTGCGAACGTCAGAGGTTTGGTGATCCTGCAGGGGGCAGGGGACCACGCCTGGTCACACCTGAACACCACTGGCTGCATGCATTACAGCTTATGTGTGTGACTCCGGTAATCCGAATTACTCAGCTTAATTTAAGCATTACGTTCCTGCATCTCATGACTGAGCGCGCCAGTGAGCTCATCTCAGAGGCCAGAAGCCAGAGGCTCTGAGGAGCTACTCTCGCGATTCTCCCTCCTTTTCCCCCCAATCGTGGAGGTGGACGACACGGGCAATAAACTTGGCCACCTGAACTTTGTGGTAACGTACAGTACCACCATTGACCCACGAGATTCCCCCGTGTGGGCAAGCGGACGTCGGCTCATGGCAACGACCACGCCGACGTTGACTGGGGTGAAGAATGAGAGCCGCGGTTCGGCGTCGGCCCGCCCACGGACCCCGCCTGTCTCACGGAGGACGGCGACTTACGAATTAAAGGCCAAAACCCGAACCGCAGCATTTTACAATAGTCACTTCCCCGTAAAGGCGAGAGGCTAAGTGATGTGTCAGCTTTAAATACGCCGCCCCTTTAAGAAGACTCTAGTGATGCATGGATGTCCATCGCCGCTGAGACCAGGGATTAACTTCCGAGGCCCCAACCACATGATGCAGCCAATCCGGATGGTAAAGGTGGGTGTGGCTAGTCATTATGTGGCTGGTGGGGGGGGTGACGAGCTGGGAATGCTGTAGACGGATGCAGGACAACACTGGGGAAATATGACGGCGATATTTAAATCACAGATAACTGCGAAACTGAGCTACATCCCCACACACACACTAAGGAATGGTCTTTTATAATAGTACTTGCATACAGAATAACACAGATTGTATCAAGCCAGTGGCTCTATAAATAGACAACCAGATCCTTCAAAGTGCTCCCAAGAGGAGGCGTCGGGTGGGGGGGGGCACCGCTAAAGGTTTCAGACCCCATGAAAGCATATCATATCGGGCCCGAACCCAGCCGATCCAGTCATGCTGGTTTTTAGTAGAAACCCAACAACAAGGCGGGTGTGGAATCGGCCGCGGATCTCGCCCCCGTCCGCTTTCCCCAAACGATCTGATTCGCTGTCCTACTCTGCGGGCAACATATTTGTTTTCCTGCAGTTCTGTGACAGTCACTGTTGGGCAAGTAACTCAGGAAGAGTAATAACAGGGCTCCAGATGGCGACTAAAATGGTCGCCAATGCGACTTGATTTTCTATATTGCGACTAGTTTTTTCATTCTAGTCGCCGGTGGCGACTCTCCCTCTCAATCTAAGAAAAGTTTTAAAATTAAAGCAGCAGAAACGGCTTTTAATTTTGTGCGGACACTCTCAGCCCGCGTCTACCTTTCCTATAACACTATCACGTGATTAAAACCAAACCTAAGGGAGGCATCATCTGACACGCCCACTCTGCTTCAAATGTCATCTCGCTAACTGCTGCGATAAGGGATCCGAAATAGAAGAGAATCGGGCCACGACTACTCCTCTAATTCCGTCCTAACTTTCCACGTAACACGCCAAATGTTCTAAGTTTCCATGTAACACGCGAAATGGCCAAACGAAAAATTTCTGACTTTTTCTCAGTGCCCACTAGTCCAAATCCTGCCTTGTCTACTTCTGAACGAACCGAAGATAATTCAGTCAGTGGGTTATCTGAGGTACAGCCACCGGCGTCCGGAAATGTACAGTTATTAAAGAATGACAACTCCGTCCGGTTAGCAAAGTCTTCTGCGCCCGCAGCTCCGACGCCTGGAAGACAGTTTAAAGCGGCTTGGTTACTGGAGTTCGTTTGGTTACGGTATGACAAGGGAAAGACGTATTGCAGCTTTTGTGCGCAAGCCGGACAAGAAATTGCTGGTAAAACAGAATTCATTTGTGGTACGAGCCATTTTAAAAAGGAAACTATGAAAAAGCATGGTGAGAGTAAGAAACACAACAATGTCAGAGTATTGCTTATTAGTAAACATTTGCACTGTTCAAATTTATGTGTCATTTATTATTTTTTATAAGACCTTGCAGAGGACACTAGTCGGCAAGTGAAATAGCCCAGATAGGAGAAAGGAAAGGCAGTGTGAGGTAGACCAAAGAAATACAAGTAAATATTAGTTGTTTATTTCACATTTGGCATGCGGTAGAGATTATGGCTCCCAAAAAAAGCATTTGGCTCCTAAATATTTTGGGTTTAGGAGCCAATGGCTCCCAAATTTTTTTGTTCTGTCTGGAGCCCTGAATAAGTTACTTTTTACTCATTACTCGTTTTGAGAGTAATGATTTTATTTTATTTCTTACGTAGTATCAGGCCGTGGGTAACCAATTAAGCAATTAACAGAGCGGCCGAAACAAACAGGAGCTCAGGGGGCAGAAGGCCCCCCTCCAGAGCGCGGCACAGGAAACGGCCCAGGAGAAACACAGGTCGCTCTCCTCGAACCCTCCCTTCCTGCTGGAAGCAGCTGGCGCAGGCGGGAGGGGACCCCCCCCCCATGTCATGCTCACTGCAGGAAGCCGGACCGCGGGAAGATTTTTAAGACTGGAAACTGTACATGGGCGGCGGATTTCAGGCCGTTTATCGCCCAGTTAAAGGCCTTAGATCTTCTGGAGGGGGGGACTCCTCTTATAACTACTTATGGGGTCTTTGCAGTGCCATGAAGCTCACCTCGCAACAGCGCCCCCTTCCTGAGCTGTGAGTAACAGCCCAAACGTCACACAGGACGCACCTGGGAATGAGAGCACGAGGGACGCCGATGGACCCCCCCGCCCCCAAGTGGTCGTGGTCGGGATTCCCGTTTATAAAACAGCCTGAACACAGGAGCTCTGCTGTGGAATGACACTGATGCACAGCGAGGCTCTTCAGCATCGGGCCTCCTGACTGCCGGAGACCCCCCAGGCTGCCAAACTCATGGGGTGGGGGCACCGCCTGAATGTTTGTGTGTGTGTATAGTGTATATTTTACTGGGTATATAACAACTCCCATTTTTTTCCTAAAGTTAAAATATATATTTATATAATCTTTCACTATGCCAATCAACATAAAAAATTTCAGGCTAGGGTTACACATTGGGGGGGCAATATATGCTGAAAATGGTGAAAACAAACTTGGAAATTAACTTGTTTGGTTTCACAGAAGATGCTGGTATCTCGAAAGGTCCATTTAACTTTACGGAAACTGGGCTGCTGTATTTTTGTGTTTTTTTTGGGGGGGGGGGGGGGGGGGGGGGGGGGGAGAGGCATGGGGGGGCGGGGGGCCCCCCCCCCCCCAAATGAGGTTTCCCTTCACAACAAAAGACAGGGCCCCTGATCCCAGCTGCCAATTAAGATGCTCCAAGAGACATTTTTGGGATTCCATGCCGGGAATTCTTCCCCTAAAAATAATATTCCCAGTTACAGTTCATTACAGCACCAGCTATATTTACTCAAACACCTAGAAAATCCAGCGCCCCCCTCTGCCGCCCCCACCCCCATCCCTGCTAGTCCACTTCCTGTTTTTCTATAGGCTCCCTAACCATTTAGCTTTACAGACAGGACTGTAGTCATGTAGGGTTCCCATGGAAACCAAAAGCCTCATGACCACGCGGTCCGGCCCATACGGAGAGCCAGGGACATCGCAACCCAGCCGGCCGAGTCTGACTGCTCCGCCTTTAAAAGAACACAAAGTGCAGCACTATAAAACACACCAAGCAGAATTGCACTTAATTACAGTGTGAAAATAAACTGTTTTGCAGATTTCTTTTGTTAACAAAAGTCTGCTTTATGACATACAGAGCTAATGAAAACACCCAGTACTGAACGCGTCATGGTCAGAGAGCTTCTTCACTCGGTTTGGGGTGAAGCTGTTAGTTAGCAGGAAGCCCATACGGCTGCTTAATTTTAAAATGTCCCAAAAATGACCCTGAATCTGTCCCATGAGCAGCTGGGACGTCCCCCCCCCCCCTTTCCTCCCCGTCCGGAGACGTGTGGAAATAAACTAGCTATAAGTAGCGAGGTCCTATCGAGCCGGACGTCTCTGCCGCCTCACGCACGCGGCAGGCAGCCAGCTCCAACACGGCGACGGCGTGGGATTCTGTCACCCTGCGGCACGTCACCATCGCACCACGACAAGCATGACACACTGTGGGGCCGCATCACAGACCGCACAGGCATGCAGGTGCGTAACCGCTGTATACCCCAGTGAGACGGGATTCCCAAATAAGTGCTGTGAACAGACAGACAGACGGACAGACAGGGACACGGAGACACACAGAGACACAGACAGACGGACAGACAGGCACAGAGACAGACAGGCACAGAGACAGACAGGCACAGAATCAGACGGACAGACAGGCACAGAGACAGACGGACAGACAGGCACAGAGTCAGACAGGCACAGAGTCAGACAGACAGACAGGCACAGAGTCAGACGGACAGACAGGCACAGAGTCAGACGGACAGACAGGCACAGAGACAGACGGACTGACAGGCACAGAGACAGACAGATGATCCCTTAGCATACTAGCTTTGGTGCCTGCTGTCAGATCAGGCCTCTGTGACCCCTGGTGGAAGCTGGGCCCGGCAGCAGTGTTCCTCTCAGGCAGCCAATTCCGGCCAGCGGCAGCTCCTGGGGGTCAGCAGGGGGGGCGGCGACACGTGGTGACGGCCCCATTCCGCTGCCCGTCTGCTCGCTGGCAAGGCCGACCCTCACATAGCACTCATTCCATACTCCCAAAACAAAAATCCCCCGGGGGAAGAAAACGAAACGGCCTCTGTTGCGCGAGGCTGCCGGCCAGCACGCCACCGCACCCGGCACCCTGGGGGGGCGAGGGGCCTGCGCCTCAGTAAAGGTGACGTCTAGGAGCCAAGCAGAAGGGCTACAGGCTGGCAGAGAGACAGTGTGCCCTGGGGGGCCCCGAAAAGCCACAGAATCCTCAGTCCCGGTAAAAAAAAAAGAGCACACGCTAACTACGTGTGTGTGACCTCAACCCCCCCCAAGCCCCATCTACAGCAGTGCCCCCCTCCCTCCCCTTCCTGCGGTTCCCTGCCCATATCCCCAATTCACAAACCATTCTCACTTTTCACTATAACTGCCACCTGGCTAGGAGCGGGTGGAGGCCGAGTGCCGCGGGGGGGTGGAGGCCGAGTGCCGCGGGGGGGTGGAGGCCGAGTGCCAGGCGTCCCACAGCGACATGCGGCCTCGGCAGACATGGAGACAGAGGGACAGCAGAGCCTGTCACTGACAGAACGGCACATGAACCACACGCTTTTACACCTGGGGAAGCCCCAACGTAACAGCGCCCTCCTGGGCCCGGGGCTGGAATCCGGTCCTGAGGGCTGCGACCAGACCAGGATTCTGACCAGATCCAATTCAAGGGTCATTCCTCCCCGAGATGTGAGATGGGCCCAAAAGCCCGGCATGGAAACCCAAATGTGACTTGTCCTTGCAGAATGTCAAACACTTGAATACATGCATTATTTCCAGCTGACTGTCTGGATACAGACTCCCAGATATTTAATCGTCTCACCTGCACTGACATACAGTTGAGAAGGCAGGTCAGACAGTCTCTGGAGCAATTGGGGATTAAGGGAGGAGCCCAATGGTGACATCACTCTGCTGACCCTGGGATATGAACTGATGACCTTCTGATCACAGACAAGGTGTCACAGATGGTTGAGCCACACACTGGTTCTCCTGAATGGAGCCAACGACTATCTGGGTGCCTGCCTGGGCCGCAGGCCTCGCCTTCATCGCATGAGCCTGTCATCAGCTTTGTAAGAGCATCAGGAAAACTGTCCCAACTGACAGTAGGGGTCTGACAGGCATCGAGTGCAAAACGAGGCCAACCTGCCAAGCACCTTCAGAAGGGGCTGGTAACAGCGGAGGTAACCAATCAGCAGGGTAGGACGTGCAGCAAAGTTAGGGTTGCAAAATCAGCAGTTAGTGGATGAGCTGAAGGCTGCCCACTACTGGCAGGATGACAAACTGCACAACCTGAGCCCCAGCTGACAACAACACCACCCAGTAATCACGATTATCCCATTGGCTTGGCTACCATTTCGTTTCCCATAGTATTTCTGCCAGCAACCGACAGAAAGTACGTTAAGGCAGGCAGTGACTGACAGACCGGAAGCCCCGCCCACCGCAGACGTCACAGCCCAGGCATTTCACATAGCAAAGCCCTTTTTTTTATTAAAAACACAGGTGGAGCAAAACATCGAGCTTCACAAAGCCAGCAGTAATGCGATTCTGCTCGTGAACATATTTGTTCAGAAACACAAAAGCGTCACGTGATTCGTGCGGGGGGGGGGCTTCCAAAGCGTCAATTTCTTTCCCCTTTATTTCGCTGCTGTCGACTTGTTTCCTCTTTCAATAAAATAAGTCGAGTAAGACAAAGGGCATCATTGTGTCCCGCAAACAAGAAAAATGCCAGCAAAGAAACACTGAGTGTGAGGCCGTCCAGAGCATCCGTTCGCACATTTTTATGTCCACACATTTACGCAGAAGCAATTATCCCACGCAGACGGGGATGGTGGTGAGATGGAGCCACACTGGGCCAGAGCAGAGGTTAGGGTGGGCGAGGGTTTGACAACGAGCTCATTTCTGATAGGCGAGCCGGTGACTACAGGGCCGTGGGAGACACCGAGCCGTCACGGGTCACGGAGTCAGAGCGGCGACGTCAGCCCGGGCAGGCGAGGAGAAACAAACGGCTTCATGTGCTACGAGGGGCAGAGGGCAACAGGATATGCAGGGGTCCTGTGCCTATGAGGGAGGGAGAGAGGGAGGCGATACTGACCCCAAACCGACACCCAAAAGAGCTCCTCTACACTAACTGCAGGTTAAACACAGGTAGCAGTGGGGGTCGGGGAACCTCCCCTTACCATCTGCAACCAGGAAGAACCTGCAGACCCATCTACGTGAGCTGTAGACTACCAGAGAGCATTCATCGTACATCATCTCTGCAACTCGGAGCACATAGCAGCATCGAATGTGTCAGCAAAAGGAATCCTGTCTTATGCAAACACAGTAACGGATTCCTGCGATAAAGCTCCCGTTTTAAGTTCACTGCCTGCACATATATGCATATCTGTCCTCCATTTCCAGAAAATCAGCTTACTGTAAATGACAGCTCCGGGAAGCCGCGTTCAAAAAAGTGACGTTTCATATAGTTACCTGCCGCTGCGGAGGGGCGCTGGGGGCCTGAGAACGGAGCCGGTAATGAACAGCGGGCGCCTGATCATAGCGCCTAACACACGTTATAGTGAGTGAGCCTACACGTTGATAATCGTGTCTCATTTGTTGTTACACATTATTTGTTGTCTTTTACGGTGTTTTTGTACAGATACTTGATTTTCCTTATTGATTTCATTCATCGCTGTTTGAAATTTTCCTGCTCATCCCCATGCAGATCCGACAAAGCGCATGTTTTAATCTTACTATAGCTACCCAGCATTAAGTATGAAGTGCTGCTCTATCATAACTGTACTTAAACCTGGAAATTTATTAAATGAACCTTTAGCGCAATTTGTGAATCTAGGGTTAGGGTGCAATAAACCTCACAATACAAAAACGGGAAAATGGCAGTTTGTGTTGAGGGGAAACTTATTAAAAGTTACTGTGATTTTTCCCGACGTTTAATAATACTGCAAGTAGAATACACATTCGACCAAGTCTCAGTTTTAGACTTGGAAAGATTTTTTTCTCTACATATAACTCAATAGCAAGGTGATCGCGACTTTCGGACTCCGACAAGTAAACTTTTCTACAAGCAACTCGGAGCAAAAGCAAGTTAATCTTCTGTAACTCCATGTGTGGTTGTTCCGAGTTTAATTCAGCCTAAAGCGCTGCACTGCTTTCTGCAGACCTGACAGACAGCTTCACCTACACACACATTATTACTACTTATATTCTCGAACTTCAACAAACATCCAATAGGATATTTGTCGTTTCGATAACAAAATACCCACAGCTAAGTTGTCTTTTGCGGCAAGCTGTAGATTTTATTATTAAAATGCATTTCTTTGCATTTTGCAAATTCCGAACACATACTGGGATGGGGGTGCGGGCTGACTTTACCCCCCACCCCCTGCTCGCCGGATCGCCAATTACCCTAATCGCCAATTAATAGATCAGATAAGCCAGCGCCGCGCGACCAGACAGTCCGGCCGCGGGGCGGCTGCTGACTCCTCTTCTTGCCCCCCGCCCTCGCTTCTTCCTGTGGATGTAATTGCCCCCGATATCCAAGCACTTTTGTTGTGGCCGTGCAATCCGGCAGGAGACCCCCCACCCCCTGGATCACAGATCCTACCTGTCCCGGGGATCGATCCACGACGTCTGGCGCGTGTTGTGATCGATGTAGAACACGCGGCCATCGTAGTCGCGCGCCTCCTCCCAGCCCGCGGGCAGCGGCAGCTCCCAGCTTTCTCTCCGCTTGCTGCTGCTCACCCACGGCATAGCGTTTGGGATGGTCTGGGGGTGCTCGCCGTCGCCAGACCCCCACCCCCCGGCCCCCTCCCTCTTTGTCTTTTCTCCGGAGAAAAGGCGAAGTCCTTAATGCATTACAGTCCCCCCCCAAGTCCTTCGACAAACGAGGAAAAGTGGGTCCGGGGGAAAAAAGCCTACAAGAAAGCGGGTGTAGAATCGACCACGGATCCGTCCTCCGTCCGCTTTTCCCAGAAGTTTTGCTTCACTCTCCTGCTCCGCTAACTTCTGTCCTCCATGTTTGTCTCTCCTTCCATATTTCATTCCATCATGACCTTATTTGGACAGAGCTAATTTGCATAAACAGTGCCCTGCGAATATATTATAACAGCAATACATTATTAATACTGCCGTACACGCCTTCATCTGGACCTGGTGGGGCCTATACAACTACATAAGTCATCTTGAAAGGTGGACATTACACAGGTTTTCTGGAAGTGTAACCATTGCATAATTTTATGTATTCGAGTGTGGTTTGGTGTGAGGAAGACGTGTTCGGCAAGTGTTACTCTCTTATTTGGGTTCTTGAGTTGGGAAACTTGAGTTGGGAAATTTCCAAAAGGATCTAATTATATTTAATGTTTTAATATTTAATATATATGTTTACTACTTTAATTAATGTGTCACGGGATATAGGCCGAGATCAAGTCTGTTTGTTTAAATGTTTTTGTTTTACGTAATACCTCAGTTTTAGGGTGTGTAAAACCATGACCAGTGTTATTGTGGCATAAACAGTGGCTTACTATATAATACTACAAAATCCAAGTATAATTATTATTTTAAACATCCACCAATAAATATATACTGGGCGCTCGTTAATCTTCATGGCTTACTACAGGCCTAATAGGATCTTTGTCAGAGCACAGAATCGCAGAGATTAGTAGCCATGCTACCATCTGTTTTTCGTGATGATGCGAAGATACATGTCGGGTAATACGTCAGCATCCCAAGCTGACCTTGTGCGGAAACAATCTGGGCTAAAATGCGTTAAGAACCCGGCGCGGGCGCATCCTCCTTTTAGGCTGGTGTTAGAGCGCCGTCGTGTGGACGATTAGTAGAAGTACGTGGTGCTTTCAAGCGCTGGACCTGTAATATAAAAGGTCCGTGGGAGACGATGACTTTGTTACATGTAAAGTACTACCTATAATCTGGCCGTAGGTATGCAGGCGTAAATGCTCATCACACCAGTCATTACTAAAAAACAATGAAGATATATTTTTAAAGTTTCGTTAAATTCATGTAGGCCTATTACAAATTATAAAATAGATCATGATACAAATCTGAAACTTTATCCATTAGGTTCCCATCTCATATTATGTGCCGTGGGTTGAGACTAATTCCGCTTACATTAGATTCCTCTTGATAAGATTAGTCGCGTCCAAATTGACAAAATAACGGCGAGATTGTGACCCGACGCAGCAATTCACCGTCTCTCTCGGTACCGTCACTTATTTTAAGCCCATAATATGAGTTTGCAGCATTACATATCTGGCAGTAAAACCGGTGATTGCGATGGCTTCTGTCAGAATTAAACACTATAATATAAAACAGTAGAGTCTGCGTGGGTTCGACGGGCGATCATTGCGTCCATTCTGGTATGCGGTCATTCTGGGACAAACACACACAACAAAACTCTTTGCTTGCGAAAGCTGCGATTCGAACTTGCTTTTTTTTTTAAAAAATCTCATTGACTTTACACTGTACAAAAACAACAAAATGTGAAGCAGTTTAAATGTTTTTCAGTTAAAATTATATGACGGAATGAGATTAGCACCTATCATTCCTTAAAAGTTTTTGTTTTATTCTTCTATATAAGCACGTGATATAAAAAACACGGTGGCCTGTCGCTAATTTCATTTAATTTTGTTCACACACAGTACGTACACTCTGCAGCCTGCATCTCTGACAGAGCCGGCGCCGGGGAGCAGCGTGGGCCCGGTACTCACAGAGCCGAGACCCCGATCGGTCAGCTGATGCGGGCATTCCTTTCTTCTCTGCTGGAGAAAGAGAGGTTTTGTATCTTCATGTGTCCGTGTCTGTGTGCGTGTGTGAAAAACGCTCCAGTGTCTCCGAGCCTCCTACTTTCATGGTCTTCTAATCGAGGTCGTAAAATACAATAAAAAGCCTTTATAATACGTTTCTCAATCACAAATAATAAAATGTCCCCTTTGAAGATTTGTCTGTGGCCTCTGCTCAGAATAAGGTAAGAATTATAGCATTCATAAAAATATCCCGAAAATAGCTGTCATATAAACAATTGCTTTTTATTTGTGCATGTACAGATCTGGGGGCTTCACATGAAAAATAAAAATTAATACATTTTACTTAAGCACAAAACTGTTCTTTCCTGCTTCTGCTGAACCTTTCCTAGTTCCTTGACATTTCAATACCGAATAACTGGTACAACTCGTTGTAGCACCGGAATGAAGTTTATAGGTGTTTTTCTCTTTTACATCGTCATTCCTTTGTGTTTACTGCTTCTAAAACAGGCACAAAATATTTTTGCTTGTATTAAGGAATGCTTTGTGGATTTACAGCTAAGGAGACGAAAAGCTAAGTTTAGAAAATGCTACTCATTCTGCACATTAATGAGACAAATAAATCACGGATTATATCACATGAAATGGCACCCGGTCACTTCCCGGCGACTGGCATCAAAGGCGCCGTGGTGAGATTTATATAAATAAACTGGCCCATTTGGCTGAGGGAGCGCGACCACCTTCGACATCTCCTGCCTGCGTACCGCCTCCACTTTCCCTGTCAGCTTCCACTGCGACCTAATCATTACAGGACGAGGGTCAGCAAAAAAAAAACAAAGAGGCAAAATCACAGAGGGTGCAGAAGGCCAATCCTGAAATGACAAAGCTGGGCATTTTAATAACATCCTGTCTGCATTTGATTGCATCCCATAGGCCTCGCTGCTGCGAGCCCTGGCTTGACTCTCAATGATCCTGTTGTTCCCTGTCTGGTTGTCCGACCTCCAGCCCCCCCCCCCCCCCCCCCCCCCCCCCCCCCCCGCCCACCCCGCCGCCGGCCACCCCGCCGCCGCCACCGGCGGCCCCGCCCGCCGCTCCCCT